GGCTCGCTATACAGACCTGATGTGGATATACTGCACCTTTATTGGACCCATGTAAATTAAACAGTCATTCACGTAAGAACTAATCTGCAGTATCCTTATAACACATACAAGTCAGTTATTGTGGTTTTTGCTGGCTTGTTCTGCAGAAGTAAAACGAAGTAAATAAATACTGGTTTTGTTCTGTTTCTACCCAGTGTATTGGAACACATGTAAGTATTTTCAGGTGGAAACTAAGATTAGCTAATATAGTACCTAGTCTAGGGACAGACATTACACTGGATGGTTGGATGCATGTAATTCCCTAGAGGCTTTAAGTTTCTCTTTTACAGCTGTCCAGTGCTTCAACTTCAGAAAACCAAGTTTGAAGTTAGTGGGCTTGTGTTGTTTTGGTTTTTTTTTTTTCTTTTAAGTCAGAATGTGAAGAAGAGGAAGACAGAGACATTCTCTTTCAGGAATCCTGAACTAACTAACTTTCAAAGGAAGATATGTAAATTGCTTATTTTATTATCAGGTAAGTTGGCAGAATGCTAGCACTTTTCACAACCAAGTGCTCCTGCTACAAAAACTCCATTGAGAAGCATCACTTTCTTTAAGTCTTCATTTTCTTTAAGTCTTCATTTTTTAAGACCAAGACCAAAAATCTGTGGTGCTAATGAACCATAATGTTGTTACTTATGTGATTTTTTGGGCCCAAAATGTCTTTTGCTCTCAAAAGGTCTAAGTAGTTATGAAGTTCAAGGATTCCTTAATGAAATCCCCATATAGAAACAGCAAATAGCAGATACGCATCTCTACCAAAGATATGGAAAATTAGAAGACAAAAGACAAGGCAAAATAAACATAAAATACTATTAAGCAGAAAAGGGACAACCTAGACCTCTAAGCAAGTACTGCCAAGACTTCCATGGACAAAAGCAAGACCTTTTTTCCCCCACTCAGCCTGAGAAATAGCAGTCATTTGTTAACTTCGTAGACTACAGAAATAAATGTCCAACCTTTACCAACAAGCAACCCCTTAAGTCACTGGTTGCTACTTGAGCATGTTTTTTGGAATTGCCTTTTGGCATGAGGACCACTCATAGAGTTCAGTAAGTGAAAAAAATACCCCTCCAGTGCTTTATCTTGGGAGTTGGTTTTCTTCATCCTATTAAACAAGGATCTTTGAAGTTTCAGGCAGACTTGGACACCTGAGAAGGTCTGACAATCAAATTAGAAGAGGCCGTGACAACTGGCTATAGTACTAAGATTAAAAAAAGAGACAAGCTATTCATGAGAGTGTAACACTGTTACTAAACTGCATGTACCAAGAAAACAAGAAACTTTCAAGACAGTTTTAAGTAGGAAAACGAATGCACACACACATGAAAAAAAAAATCTCACAGCCAGCCTTTTTTACAGTTTGGTTTCCTGAATTCTTCCACTAGGAAAAAAAAAAAAAAAAAGGAAGTCACAAAAAAGATTCTCTATGAACAACTAACCACAGTTAGTTTTAAGAAGTATGTTTCCTCCAGATGCATTTCTCCACATTAACAAGATTCTTTCTATTGACTTTTAGTCCCTCGTTAGTCTCTAACTAGAGGTGGAGATAAATTCCAGAAAGGCTAAATAACCAGCTAAATCCTAACTTTTCCAGGATTTTCCCCTTAAAAATTGAATCTGCAAAACAAAAATGCAATTGCTTCGCAATCAGAAATTGTTCCCAAAATACATTTTGGTGCTTAAAGAAGAAAAACCACCAAAAAAAAAAAAAACAAAACACCCAAGTAACAAAGTCATCCTGTACAGATTTTACAGTTTGTACATGACAGATCAGTCTTCATAATCAAGACAGCAGGGATCTCTCAGGATGGTATGTCCAGGAATAAAATGGAGGTTTAAAAGCAAAACAAGGACAATTCCAATACAAGGAAGGACAGAAGCAGCTTCCATGTGTATTGTTTCATGCTGGAATTTAGAATCTAGCCAAGAGAGCTCTTCTGAGAAGGACAGATGATATTCTGATTATTTTGTAATTTAACAAGATATATTTGAACACTGGTACCAAGCATGTTTTAAGTGTATGCCACTACAATGTCAGATAATCAATGCACTGCTAATCTGGTTTAATACCAGAACTGATTTAATAGCATCATTTCTCAAACGGCAATACCATTTCCAATAGCAATTTGATTGTTCTCAGAGATCACGTTGGCAGTTTTCATGCTAGCCCACTTCTGCTAGCCTTGCCTACAACATGCGCTCTCAAAGCACTTTGCGTTATGGTATCACATGGTGTAAGACCAACAATCAGCAAACATAAGCAACTATAAGACCACAAGCACCATGGACAGAATGGAGAAAGGTCTCTTTTGAGATTTTGGAAACCGTAACTCGCCAGTATGATTAAAATGTCCAAGAAGTGTTCTGTAAGCTGAAACAGAAAGAAAAAGAGACAAGTACACTAAAAAGTAAGCCCTTAAGAATGGGTCAAATGACCTTGACATTAGCACGTGAGTTTTAGAAGTAGGGTAAGAACGGCTTCCCTTCTACCCTAGAAGCCACAGAAGCCTGGTATTTGAACTACATATTCTGAAATTTTTTACACACTGTAGGAGATGGTTCTGCATAGGCAAATGATGAATTAGATGACCCAAAAAAGGTTATTTTGCAGGTTTTCATTCACATTGGAACCAAATGCTGGAGAGGAACTTCAAATATCTGTGGTTAAGGACTAAACATTTCTGAGATTTAAACGTATTCAAATGTAACCACACTTGGGTCTGACATATGGAAGTGCAAGAGGCACCATGTTTTAGCCAGACATTTTTCTGTCAGATGAATGAGACTTTTTTTCCTCCAAATCAACCCAGTCCTTTTTAAAATGAATTTCTGCCAGACTTGTATTCCCCCCTTGGGGGGTGGCAATGGGAAAGAAAGGGAAGAAAAGGAAAAAGGGGACATTACTGCCAAAAATATAAGGAGGGAAAGGGAAAGACTGGATAATGAAATAAACCTACCTTCATCTCCTCCTTACAGAAGCAAGCATTTCAAGAAGTTAGATGTTACTTCTCTGAAGAACTAGAAGCCTATGCGAACAGGTATTATTGTGATATGTACAAAGTTACTGACCCATGTGATAAAGGTCAAGAACTGAGATAAGTTTCAGGGAGGAAATAAGATGTGTCTTCAATGCCACTTAACAAAATCAAAGATAAACAGAAGCCAATGGAGTCTCATGAAAAGCAAGGAATACCCCAGGCTTTTAAAGGAAGAGTTACTTGAAAACCAAAAAACAAACCCTAGATGTTTGGAAGAAGAATGTTTCCAAGGTGAGGCATGTGAACATGGGATACTTGCCTCCTCCCTGCAAAGTAAGGAACTTTAACTAGATAAGAACAGTCTTCTGAGTACCATCAACGAAGGACAACTTTGCTCAGTGTTTGCTAGTCTAACCTAAACAGGATTACACCCCTCTCCTGCAGAGAGGAGGTCAGGGGGAAGAGAAAAGCGAACCATCTTCTCTATGTGTCCATGTCCCAGAGAACCATCTTCTCTGCATGCGATTGCATCTCCAGAAGCAGAGCCAGGATCAACACTCAAGCCCACCCTGATCACATCCAGCTTTTCCATCCTTTTAAAGCAACGGTCTGAAATTCAAGCTGAGTTTCGGTTTTGTTTTCTCCTCCTTGTGACAAAATAAAAACGAAAAAGAAAAGAGGAAAAGGTAGGGAGAGGAAAGAACGTAAAAGCTTCTCTGACACTAAACATCTTATCCCCAGCAGCCTCGCTAGTCCGAGCCATACCACAGCCTCCTCCACACCCGCAGGATTTTGCATGCAGTTGTGTGAGGTGCATAAAGAGCCTGCCTAATGAATAAGATGAAGAGGGGAGTGAGGGAGAGAAGGGAGGGAAAGGGAAGGAACAACCTTTCTTTTCTCTGCTCTTCCTGGGGATCTGAAAGTTCCTCCTAACAGGCAGGTCTTCTGGGGGCTTAGGGAGAGGGGGAGGCCCCCCCAACACACCGCTGGGCGGCTGCTGCTGTTGTTGCTGTTCATTTGCCGTTGAGATGCTGCTCCTGCGCTGGCTGCTGCTAGTGATGCTGAAATTTGGGGGGACCTTGTCCTCTGCAGCAACAGCAGCCACCAGCAGCGCCTCCCCAATGCTACTGCTCTCAGAGCGTCCGCCATTTTGTGTGGTGTCCTCAGCGGCTCCTGCTCTATTACTCTCCACCCCGAGGAGGCCCGCGCTGGTCTTCTCCGTCCGCTGATGCTGCTCCGGCTCCATCTCGCCACCACTGGGGACGACGACAACCGGCATTCACTCC